ACTGTGGCCTAAGAAAATCATGAGACACATTGACCATGAGTCACTGAAGCACTTGTGAGGTCAAGGGAAATTAAACAAAAGGCATGCAAGGTAGATGGAGTTTATAGAAACATTGGCATGCAAGGTGGATGGAGTTTATAGGAACATTTCCTTACATCATCCGGTACAAGCAAGGTAAACAAAATGTAGTGCCAGATGCATTGTCTCGGAGATATGTGCTGCTACTAATTTCGCTATGTTCTAAATTGCTTGGTTTTGAACACATTAAGGACATGTATGAGGATGATCTAGGTTTTTTCGATGTTTACAAATCTTGTAGTTAAGGGGTATTTGTTTCAGGGAAAAAAACCCATTTGGCCCCCATTATTTGGATTTATAATGGGGAATAGTATTTTTTTTTAAAGATTGTGTGGTTGAAAAGTTTTCGATTTAAGTGTAATATTATTTTATTGAAAATTCTGTGGTTGAAAATAAGAGAGAGAAAATTAAATTAAATTGAAGAGTTTTAAATGGGGCCAAATGGGGGCTAAATTATGTGTTCGAAGTTGCTCAATACGGGAGTTGTTAGTGAAGGAAGCACACAGTGGAGGATTAGTGGACACTTTAGGGTTCAGAAGACTTTAGAAATGTTAGGAGAACATTTTATTGGCCTTAGATGAAAAGTAACGTTAAACGAATATGTACTCGATGCATAAACTGTAAACAGACTAAGTCTAAGGTTTTACACCAAGGGCTATATACACGTTTACCTACTCCTAGTAAACCCTGGGTTGATATTTCGATAGATTTTATTTTGGGTTTATCTAGGATTAAGAAGGGACGAGATTCGATCTTTGTAGTGGTAGAAAGGTTTAGTAAGATGGCGCATTTCTTACCGTGTCATAAAACTGATGACACCACTCATATAGCTGATTTATTCTCTAAGGAGATAGTGCGTTTACATGGAGTTCCTAAGAGTATCATGTTAGATAAGGATGTCAAATTTCAAAGTCATTTTTGGCGAGTTTTGTGGGGTCGGTTAGGCACAAAATTGCTATTTTTTTACAACTTGTCATCCACAAAGCGATGGGCAAACTGAGGCAGTAATATGACAATGACTCAATTATCATGCACTGTGATCAATAAGAACTTGAAAAGTTGGGAAGAATGCTTACCTCTCATAGAGTTTGCATTTAATAGGGCCATTCACTCCACTAATTTATTTTCATCATTTGAAGTTTTTTATGGTTTTAATCTACTAACCCCTATGGATTTAATACATTTACCCGTGAATGAATGTGGTAGCTTAGATGGTAAAAGAAAGACTGAACTGGTAAAGTCACTATATGAAATGTTTAGGTTGCAGATCGAGAACAAGAGCAAACTCATTGCGTCGAAAGTAAACAAGGGCAGGAAAAGCATGACATTTGAACTAGGAGATTAGGTTTGGATTCATTTCAAAAAGAAGCACTTTCCAGAGTAGAGAAAATGAAAGCTACAACAACGGTGAGATGGACCGTATCAAGTTATTGAGAAGATCAATGACAATACCTGCAAATTGAATCTCCTAGGTAAGTATAATATTTCGAGAACTTTTACTGTATTTGATCTCTCTCTCCCTCTCTCTCTTTCTCTCTCTCTTTGATGCAGGTTCAGATTCGAGGAGAAATCCTTTCGAAGATGGGGGGATGATATGATCCAAGATTCAAGCTCGACGAAGACGATCTTGGGAAGAGATCCGCTGATTATCGAAGGAGGATCGACGATGCGATCGAGGGTAAAAATAGGTAAATCAAGTGATGGGGCTATTAGTTCAATCAACAATTGATGAGAGATTGATCATAACGAGAAATGAGGCAAGTTTCATGTTGGGGTCGAAGGTCGGAAACAATTGGATCAACTCAATACACATAAATGAAGTTGGAGCCAAAGGGATGAACTATGCCACCGCACAGTGTAATTCACCATGTGGTCATATGGTGGTCAACAGAAATTGAAGGTAGCCAATTTTCTTAGCTTGTGCGATCGCACAGAATTGTACCATTGTGATCGCATGGTATAAAATCAAGAAATTTTTCTTTTTCAACTAATTTCCTTATTTTGTTATAATCCTGTTTTAGATAAAATTCTTGTAATCTATAATTAATATTTCCCATTTTTACTAAATTTCTAGGGTTAGTATACAATTATCTTCTTCCATTGTAGAGAACTTAGACATTATTTTGAGAGAAATTAAAAGAAAGGCAAACTATTGCTTTGTAATCCTTTGTTCTTGTTGGAACAAACTTGAACTTATTGAGGTAAAAATCTTGTGGTGTTCAGTATCTGGTACGAATTACGGGTTCTAACAGTCTCATGTGGTTTTGTAGTCATCGTTGCTACGCAGGTTCATATCAATCCCTCTTGATTTAGGGACTAAAATACACATAGTATTATTTTATCTGAAATCTACTGAATATTTATTGTTAAATTTTAGAATTATTGCATCATAAGTTATTTTATTATTCTTCTCATTTCGAGATTCTGTTTTCTATATTATAAATTTTTTTTGACTTATTTGGTTATTGATATAAAATTTGATTGTTATCAATTTTCGGCATTTGGCATTCTATTTCAAGTGCCTATTTGATCTTGGATTTCACAAGCAATAGGAATAAAAAAAGGAAAGAGATGAAATAATATAGTACTATTACGAATCACTAAGTATTGGTTGTTTCTACTACATTGAACCTTCTTTATTGAATCTCCAATCACAAATGTTATGTTACTCTCGGATGTGACACTAAACCCATTCCTTCAATGATTTATTTATGTCCATCATAGACTATGGTTTATTCATATCCCTCTTGGACAACAATTTGGTACCATACATTTACAAAGTTCTTATTCTCTATCTGCACATTTACAAAGTCTTCTAAAAACATTTCAAATATTAAAGTTATATATTTGAGTATAGGCTTCACTTTAAAATGTTAACTGATAGTGGCGTGAGTTTGCGGAAGGTGGCAAGCCCATGACAGTATTATGAATAACGGTTAGAATTCTCATTATCAATCTTTATAAAATTAATTGATAATAGTGAGCCCGTCTATATATAGAGGAAGAGAAATGGGCCATAGGGCTAACGGACCAAGTCCAAGCTTAAGTCGAAAACGAGGTTAATTAATTCATTCGATCCAATCCAATCAACATAATTAATCGATGCCTGATCGACTAATGTGGGCCCCTTCTACCACGTGAATGCCATGTGATTTTTGAGGAGGACAATAGACTCTACACTGAAAATAATAAATCCTCCATTGAAATCAATAAAATATGTACGAAGAGTGGTAGAAGATCAAGGTAAAACCCAAAAGTTCAATGAGGATAGAGGATCAAGAACTTTGATCTGCAACTACAGGAAGATGGATGAGCATAAATTAGTTTTAGTGGCAATTTCTAGTTGACTATGTGCAAAATTGAATTCCACATGACTGCTTTGCATTTCATCTAAATAATTCGTGTCAGAAATCGTCACCTTGAAAAATGGATAGAGCAACTGCTTAAATATTTTTTGTTGAACGATAAAATTATGAGCTCAGTGTTTTGCTATCGCTTGGAGTTTAGCTACGGCTAAACTTCGATATGTATGATTTCACAGAACCATTGAAGAAAACGATACTTAAATTGGTGCGAATAATTAGAAGGGGCAAATTGGTCATTTATGCATGTATCTAATTATTGAATCTTGAACATGGATAAAATATATATACGACAGGTCAGAGAAAAATATTACATATTTATTGGCTTCTTTGATCTTATATATTCCAAGAGTTCAGTCTTTTATCTTTAGTGGAACAAGTAAAAACTAAAGATTAGATTGGGTGATTTAGGGTACAACAAGATGGGATCTAATTATTGAGAGTTGGATAATACATGTCCGATCAGGTCCTTGTAGTAGCTCTATAAAGTATTAGGACTTGATTACAATAATTTTAATTGTAATTACAATGAAGTTTTGTACTTAATTGTAATTATTATGAAAGTTGTAAATTTAATTATAATTATAATTGAAGTTTTAGAACTACACATGTAGTTAAATATAAACTAATTGAGTTTGAACTTTAATTAAAGCTCCTGCTTGGATTTTAATTAGATCTCTTATTTGAACGTGAAATTATAATTGTACAAGAATTTGAACTATTCTATATCTATAAATAAAAACTAGATAGAACCTAAAAATTCCTACAACAATCATAATACATAATTTCTTAGTGTTCAAATTTGGAGAGAAAAAATAATTATTTTCTTGCTTTATTCAATTGTCTAGTCCAAGAATTAATTTTTTGATTTAATTAAAAGAATATGTTCACCCACCGGTATAATCTTGACTTTGGAGAATAACATAAAAGACTTAGAGGTTTGCCAAAAAGCTTAAAGTTCGTGATTCATAATTAATTCAAGAATTGATTATCGAATTTAGGTAAAAATTTAAATCATTTATTCTTGATACATACACGTGAACATCTAAATGATTTTGTTTATTAAATTAAAGAAACTTTTAATTTCTGGGTAATTCTGCTTTCATTTTCCAACAGTTGAAGCATCATTTGGTCCTGATGTGCAAGAATTATTACTTAATGCTAATCATGTTTGGTGATACATTTTTTCTTACTTTAGGGGATTTATTCAATTGAAACTTTTGAAGATTTTGATGGATTTTTTTTAAGTGATAATTTTTGTGAATTTCGTGGACTTTTTATAGATTTGTATGAAATTAGTGGAAGTCTTTCGTAGATTTCTATGGATTTTGATTTTAAAATTTTTATAAACTTTTGTAAAATTCAAGACTTTCGAAGACTTTTATTTGAAATAGAATTCACGTGAATTTGATGTGAAATTCTTACATACGAGGTGTTAGTTTCCACAATTCCCCCTTTTCTTTCCCTTCTTCCCTTATAATAAAAAAAAAAATTGCAAAAAAAATTTAAGATATTAATTAAATAAATAATAATCAAGATTAAATAAATAATACACCCCCCTTAAAACACAGCCAAACATTTAAACAATGATGAAAAAAATCTCAAAAACAAAATCCTCACCATTTTCTTATTTCATGGTATTCTGATACAAAGGCTTTTTCAGCCATATGGATCCGGGAAACACCATGAGGTTAGTTTTGCTCAAACTTTGTCTCTCATCGTCTTCCAGGGGTTCGAAGCCAAACCCTTTGTCCCTGTCTCCACTACACTGGGAATGGCAGATACAACGAGCTTCTCAATCCTCAAAGACTAACGTCTAAAGGCACAATTGAACTGAAATTACTAATATGCATACCAGAAGCAGTAGCCCCAGTCACCCAGAGACACAATAACTAACAGAAAGAACATATGCACAAACGTTAAACGTGTAAAGATAGCAAGTTTAAGAAAACAGATTCCAAGGGATGGAAAAAATCATGAAACATTACTCTTCGGGTACTTCACCACAACTAAGAAACAATCCAATTACACGATTATCTAAGAAACCCAATAAATAAGAGAGATTTTCCAAATTAAAATAAATAAATAAATAAATAAATAATAATGATAATAATAATAATAATAATAATATCCGTACTCATGCCCCTGAAGAAGATCAATTTCTTGCTATCATATTTGCTATCTGTTTTCAACCAGGCAACCCCAAGTTTCCTTTTCTGAATTCCAGGAATATTTGCAATCTGCTTCATTCCACTTTGTCAAGCTTTTAGCTTTATTTTATTCCAAGGACAGTTGTTGCGAAAATATAGATCACAAACCACTTGATATGGTGCAGACTATGCACCCCCACATTTTGTTTGGACACAAGAGTGTAGACAACATAAAAATTAGTAAACAATCATAGTGGAGAATGAATACTTCTCACACGCGTTGTATGATGAATGCTGATGGTCAAAATAGATAAATTACCTCTTCTATAGAATTAATAAGGAGCCAACACAGTCCCCCCGTCTACAATAATTGTTGCAAGTAGCAACTAAAGGCGGCTCTGCCACATTAACCCCGTGGATTCTGCATCAAGGACATATGTTACATTATAAAAAATACTGCCAATTTACATGTAACGAACAAAAGAATAATTATCGATTAAACAAATATTTAAGAATTACTTAGGATAGGATAAAAGAACAAACAATAATTGGAAAACCGGTAATGGATAAAATGTACAGTAAAAATAAAAAAGACATCTATAGTGTTCACCTAAGTGATTATATAAAATTAAACTACTGTATGGTTCCAAAAGGAGCCAAGATATGTCAGTTTGATGAAGGAGCTTCACAACCAATATATAACAAAGACTACTCATCTTGAAGCTTCAGTAATATTTTCAGAAAATAGATCTATAGAACATATTTGGCACATTAATTAGCCAGATGGTAGCCTTCATGTCCGGTGTCAACCTTGGCAGCTAACACACATCACACAAGAATGTAGAAATGCTTCCTAATTTCCACTCAAGAAAATAAGAGTTATAGAAAAGAGATCCATTGTATTAAATTAAATTCAAGTCGATGATGAAAAAGAAATGCATAAGGATAAAGTTAGCTTTGGCCAATGTGTGCTTTAGACTTTCGTGACTGAAAAAAGTTAGAACGTTCCTCAGCACCAACTAGGACAAAGCAGCAAGAAGCAAGTAATATTAGATGTAAGAATGAAACAGTGTCCTAGATAAACTTTGAGACGAGATTATACCACGCCGAAAGGTACTAAAAGACAGTATGTTGTATAAGTGAAAACTAATCATACATCATAATTTACCTGATGGATGAAGTTTCTGCTCGCCATTAATACAGTGAAGAAGTGTCCAAGAGTAGCCATCAGAAAGATGATTTATCAACCCAATGTGAGATAAAAAAGCTGAGCATACCTGCACAGGGAATTAAACCAAAACAGAATTAGAATATAAAGATGCCGAAATAATACTTCAATAAATGAAAATTCCAAACAAGCAGCAGTGATGGAAATAAAACGATGTGTATTTTTGATGTTGTGATATAGGTTGATGAAACTGGAGGAAATAAGCGAAAGTTGGCAAAATTGGACAAAATGGGTCAAGTTGTAAGATATCCAAAGTTCGGGACTAAAATGAAAATAATCAAAAGTTGTGTTGAACCTCGCAATGGAGAACCGAGAGGGTTATGAGCCAATTGGATGAAAAAAGACATCAAAAGGATCGAAGTCAGTAAAAATATGATCACAAATCAATTTTCAACTGAAATGTTATACTCCAGAGTTTTAGTCTCATATTGAGATCCACTTTTGACATAGAAAACGATCAAATTGGAAAATGACGTCCGAAGAAAAGTTGTAGTCCTTTGAGTTTGCTTTTCAACGCATATTGAATTATCTCTATTGGACATCATACGAAGAAGTTATGATTAAAATACTAAAGGATGCATAGTGCAGTCTTTCCACAAGAAGCGGGCACTACGATGACCACTGCAATGCCCACCAAACTGAAAATAACAAAATAGGCAGCTCAGTGGTGCTGTCACAGTGGCGCCGAGGTGCAGCCCATGCGGGAAAGGTTTTTTTTAATGTTTTCAAAATCTTTTCTTGGCCCAATTCAACCCTAATACGTCCAAGACTCCAACAATACTATAAATACAATATCAAAGACCTATTTTCTCCTACAATTCAAGGGAGCAAATTACACAATTGAAGGGAGCAAAACATCAAAAAGTTCAAGGAATGCAAAGAAGAACCGGAGAAGAAGATTGAAGATCTACAATCCTAGTTTTTTCTATTCTCTTCCCTATGTTTTCTTATATGAATTTTTGTATTTCCATGGATTATATCGTGAACGAAATTCATTGTCTAGAGTTTGATGTAGCCGAACTTGAGATTATGACTTGATTTTGTTATACTTATTTCTATTTGATTTTCCACTTATGTTTAATTATGTTATGAAATTAATGCTTTCAATTAATTGGCTACTAATTAAATGAATAGATGCTAGTCAATTTCAATACTGGAGAGATAGAAATTTAGGTGGGATCATAGGATTGACACAATGTAGATATTATGGGTTTTGAGGAAAGTATAGAATCTATGAAGCTTACTTGATAAAATAATCATGAACTTGATAAATCCTTGATTTCAATTGGGATTAAAAATCTAGGATTAATTTCTAGCTGACACTCGAGAGTGGGGATAGAAATACATTAGGATTCTTGCTTGTAAACATGGAAAAATTGACTAGAATATGTAGACTTAATTGAATTATAATTGATAGTTAGGTGAAACCATTCCCTAGGCCTTTCCATCTTGATTAAATTCATATATTTACGTTCATTGAATTCGCACCACATTCATCAAGTTCATATGGTTAAAATCATTGGTTTCAATTTTCATTCATCTAGATAAAATAAAGGTTACACAATTATAATACTTGGTAGAAATTAAATTACAATCCATGTGGATTCAACATCGTAACTCCTTTACTATATTACAAAACTTGATATCGTACACTTGCGGTATAAATCAAGTTGTAGGAAACGCTTGTGAACCCACTACTATTCCTCGTACTATTTGTATTTATATACCATTTAACTATTTCCAAACAATGGCTTAATATGATGTCAAATATTACACTTTGCAAAATCTACATCTCTTCCCTGAAACAATGACATCGCATGCCTTCAACAATAACAGAGATTTAGAGAGATTTAGACTGATATGTTTCTGAATGCTATATTCTCATTGGGACAACATGATAAAATCATTCCATTTTATCATGTACATACTTTCACTCAGATAATGTCTTTTGATTCTCAAGGTGAGTTTGTGTATATTAACATGGGGTGTAGATAGCCACCAAATTTCCAGTGAGATCTGCTATCTTGGTGAGCCCTTTCTCCCTCTTTAGATGAAGCTCGGCACTCATCAGCCTCTTAAACGGTGGTTTCACCTTCTCCATGATAGCAGAGCGTAGACTATGGTGATTGGGGTTGAGTCACGAGTTCTGGAATGTTCGATGAATGGAGCTATGCTGTTGGATGGACTCTGATTAGGAAAAATACGTGGAATGTAGCTAACAAGTGGGCTGCTAGAGGTAGTTTTGATTCTTGATGGGAGAAAACTTAAGTGGGCCTGTTTTAAATATTCATTTTGGTCTTCTACCTGTTGGCCAACTTTCCTACTAAAGTCTAAATCCATCCAATCCAATAATTTCCATCCCTTTCTCTTCTCTAGATTCAGCTCCATCTCTGATCTCTTCTCCTTTGGCAATGGTGATGGTAAGATTTCAATTGGTTTACAATTTTTTTAACAATATTTTCCTCCTGCCGGCTCCAACAAACTACAATTTCTCCTATTTCATCAGCTTTGGGTGAGGTTTTCAGTTTCCTAGTGTTTCCATTCAGATACATCGGCAAAGGAGCTTCAGAAATCACCGGCTCATGTGAGTTGTCTGCCATCTCGTTTTCCTTCCTCTCTCTTTATTGCCCATCCATTTTCCTCATCATCAAATCGATCCTTTCCTTCATTCTAGGCATTGCTCTCTAAAATTCAATTTTCATTGCACCTAACTCGAATTGTAGGCAGTCAATTCCCCCTTCCAAGGACTATACTGGATCGTTGAGAGTCATTTTCCTAGGTCTCGACTGCTTTGACTTCACTTTGATAGGTTCCACCCTAGGTTAATAGTAAAATCTATCTGTGATTAATGAAAACACAAGACATGAACAAAAATTATGATATGTATTGATTGAAATTGAATTATAGAAAATAGAACGGGAATACAATCAGCCTTTTGAGAGGGCTATACTCTCCACAATATAGTTTTCACTCACTAATTTGTATTCTATTCTCTTCCAACTCTTCCTTATTTATAAGCTACTTGTAACTGATTTTCCATCCCATTTTTACTCTCTAACAGAATAGTTTTCCACCCACTTGCTGGTTATTCTTCTTCTAGGTCCTTCTAGAAAAACTAATCTCTCTAAGAAGTTTTCCAAGATTTTTATGCATGGACTTACCTAACAGGAGAGTTGTGGAGAAGGTGCCAATCAGTTTGCCAGAAAATTTTGAGGCAAAAATCTCCTCTTGAAGACTCTAGAGACCTGTCTTCTATAACCTTGTTTGAGTTGGTTAATGCCTTGCAAGCTACTGAGCAAAGGAGGCTAATGAGACAAGAAGAACAGGTAGAAGGGGCCTTGTTTGTTAAAGGAAAACATAAAGTTCAAACAAGTTTTGGTGTAAGAAAGCACCAAGATGAAAAGAAGAAGGTGGAAAACAATAAGATTACTGGTAAAAGTGGAGTTTATCCTCTATGTGTTCATTGCAAAAAATCAGGACACTCTCCAAAATGGTGTTGGTATCGACCTGATGTTCAATGCCGAAGTTGTAAACAATTTGGACATGTTCAAAAAGTGTGTAAAAATTTGAAGGAGAAGCAAACAAAGCCTCAAGCACGGATGGCTGAAAATCAGCAACAACATCAGGAAGAGCACCTATTTTCAGCTATCAATTTTAAAGCTTGCAGTAGTGTTGAAACTTGGTTGCTGGACAGTGGATGCACTCATCACATGACTCCAAATTCCAGTATCTTTGGTGAACTAAATGATGCATACAAATCAAGTGTTAAAGTTGGTAATGGAAAGCATGTGGAAGTGAAAGGACTTGGCATGATTGCTGTTCAAACTCCATCAGGTACCAAATACATAACCGATGTTCTTTATGTTCCTGATATTGATCAAAACTTGATTAGTCTGGGCCAATTAATTGAGAAATATTACTCTTTGATATTCAAAGACAAAAGTTGCACTATATTGGACACACATAATCAAGAATTGATGACTGTTGATATGAAACAAAGAAGTTTTCCTTTTCAATGGAAAAATGTAACCAATCAGGCACTGACCAGTTTAGTGATTGATTCTTCACTTTGGCATAAACGGTTTGGAGATGCTAACTTCACTTCACTCAAGCAATTAAACAAGCTGGAACTAGTTGAAAAGATGCCAGATATATGTGATAATGGCTATGTTTGTAATATATGTCAACTTGGAAAATAAACCAGACTTCCATTACCAAAAAATCAGTCAAGAAGATCCATAAAAAAAACTGGAATTAATCCTGTGTGGAAGAATGGTTGCAGGAAGGCAGGCGCCATGGCACCATGATGGATGAAGGTACACCAATCTAGAAGTACGTCAACAAGTTTGATAGGATCATATCGGACTTGAAGGACATTGATGTGGAAGTAGATGATAAGGATCAAGCACTTCTACTACTTCTTTCATTGCCAAAGTCTTACGAGAACCTAGTACAAACATTGATGCTTGTGGGTGATAAACTTGTGATGGAGGACACTAGAACGTCACTTCTAGCTGATGATCTTCGAAAGATTGCAACTAGTAGCATGTCTACCATTGGTAACAATGAGCAAGCTCAAGGATTGTTTGTAAGGGGTAGAAGCAATGTGCAACTAAAGGGTAAGGGAGAAAAATCTAGATCGAGTTCTAGACCTCTTGCGGAAAGGTCTTGTTTCAAATGCAGCGAGCTTGGGCATTTCAAGGCGAATTTTCCTAACAAAAGGGGTTCAAAGAAGAACAACAACAACGGGAAGGTGTAAGTCAAGCAAGAGGTAAGCTATGCCTCGGAAGGAGGGGAAAGCGATGAGTGCTATACCATCTCTTGTGATGAAGAAACCTCCGGTAAGTGAATTCTTGACTCTAGAAGCTCTTACCATATGTGTCCAAATAGGAAGTGGTTTACTACCTATAGAAGCACTGATGGTGGAACCGTGTTGATGGATAATAACCATTCTTGTAAAATGGTGGGGCTCGATTCAATTAGAATCAAGATGCATGATGGAGTGGTTAGAACATTGATGGATGTTAGACATGTTCCTGATTTGCGAAAGAACCTTATCTCTGTTGGTGCCTTAGACTCTGGTGGTTGCAAGATTGTAACATGGAATGGAGTAAAGAAGGTTGTTCGTGGTTCTTTGATTGTGATGAAGGGTATTCGTGAAGGCAATCTCTACGCCCTTCAGGGTACTACAGTTACTGAAGATGTAGCAGTTGGAACAAGTGAAAGTGGTGGAGACCCATGTGAGTGCACTCGGCTATGGCATAGGAGGCTTGGGCATATGTCTGAAAAGGATCTAGATTTGCTAGTCAAGAAAGGTTTGCTAAAGAATTTGAAGAAGCCTTGCATGGATTTTTGTGAGCATTGCGTGTACGGTAAAGCACACCGAGTTTAGTTCCAGCTAAGTAAACATAGAAGCAGAGGCATTCTAGACTATGTGCACACGGATGTATGGGGTCTGGCTTCTGTCACTTCCAAAGGCGGTTCCAAGTATTTTGTGACATTTGTTGATGATTATTCTAGATATGCTTGGATTTATTTTTTGAAGCATAAGAATGAGGTATTCGACACTTTCAAGAAGTGGAAAACAAATGGTTGAAAACAGAACAGGAAAGAAATTGAAGACACTGCGATCTGATGACGGTACTGAGTATACAGATGGTGCTTTCAAGGAGTTTTGTGGTAAGGAAGGCATTGTGAGACACTGGACAGTTAGAAATACACCGCAACAGAATGGGGTCGCGGAAAGACTGAATCGCACATTTCGAGAGAAATCGATGTGTATGCGATCCTTTGCTGGTTTGGGCAGAGAATGGTGGGTAGAGTCAGTTGCAAATGCTTGCTACATAGTGAATCGGTCTCCACATTCGGTTAGATGGAGATGTATCTTACAGGGTATTGACAGGAGAACATGCAGATTATGAGAAACTCAAAATATTCGGATGCACAGCCTACTATTACGTCAACGAGGGAAAGCTTGATGCGAGGGCCAAGAAGGCTATACTCTTGGGATATGCGGCTGGTGTTAAAGGCTATCGCCTATGGTGTGTAGAGGATTCTAAGTTCATAATCAGCAGAGATGTTACTTTTGATGAGAACTCCAT